AGTACCGGGGAATAAATGAAAAAATTGATTGTCGCCGAAAGAATGCTTAATCGCGGGAACCTTCTGGAAACCAACAATGTTCAATGTCATATTGTTATCCAAATTGCGTGTACCGTTGGGCATTTCTCGCGTTATTTTTTTTTAAATGCTACAAATTGATTTTTAATGTTGGACGGGGAACTATCGTCCACGCTTTGCGTTTACGACGTGAATAAAGAGCCGCATTTCGTTCTAGTTTAGACTGAACTTTTCTTAACTATATTTTGTTGGCTCAGTTATATCGCGTTAAATTCTAAATAAGTACACAGATTAAATCCGCGCTTTGTCGGTTCTCACGTGAAATTGAATGAAATCGTGAACGATGTATGAGGTTTTCTAAATTAGCATTTGTAAAAACCTATTTTGTATATAAACGATTTATGATTTTGTATAGTAAGATCTATTTGGTATATAGTATGCGAGAGCGTTCATTCTTCAATTTTTGCACTCAATTCTTAATCTGCACAGAAATGGGGTTATGAATTCTCTTTCGCTGCCACAACACGTGTCCTTTGAGTATTCATTGGTTTAATACTCAAAGACTACGTCTGACAGCTTCGTTGGCCCAGTGGCATTAAACGTGACTACTCATTAAGGTCTCGGGTTTAAAACAGGAGATTGGGCCAAAAAAATGAGCTATTGAGTTTTTCACAAAATTCTCAGTAGCAGCCCAGATTCAGAAAGTAGGCGGTGTTTCACTCTCGTGCCTCGGAAAGCACGTGAAGCCGTTGATCCTGCGTCTGGTCCCTTTTCAGTGGATTACCATCCCATCAGACTATGAAAGTGAGGTAATAGAGCATAGCCTGTCCTTGTGCACTGTCTACTAGTGCACTATAATACTATCGATTGGCCGCTGTGACCGAAATTCGGTCACTATTCAAGTTCACTGCTGAATATATGCCTCCCTCTTAGATTGCCTCATATCTGGATATTTGCCATAGTTGCCACGCTTAGCTAACTGGCTGGTAACTGCAGTTTTCTTATTTTTGAAGTGAAAACTTCTTTACAATCGTTGTGATTTGAAACTAGATGAAACGTAAAAGTGACGTTAAAAAAAGACTCGGAAAGGACAAACATATACATACATCTATAGGATTTAGCTAGTGAGAGAATGAGATTGAATACAATATACAGTGTTCCCACTTAGAGTGTGAGCAAGTTATGCTTACATAAACTCTAAGGTTTCCCCTTATATCGGTCTTTTTTAGTGCAGTGTTTTAAAGATAAATAATATAACTTTTAACTGTTAAAATATACAGTTAAACAAAATCAAAAAATTTATTAAATAAATAAGAATAACCTAATTGAATAAAATTATCTTAAGGGGATAGAGTAAGTCAGCTCAAATTCTAATTTCGTCCCCACTTCCCCCGCGCGTCGTTTGCTATGTACCGACATGTTTGTAATCACTAATACTGTAAGTAGAAAGGTCGTTAGGCACTTATTTCATTAGTTTTATCATATTTATGCCTGTTTCTTAACGCCAAGCCAGCCGCTTCTTATTTTTATTACGGTTATTTCCCATTTTAATTTTACGTCGTCCTATTGCGTAATGTATATTCTGATTGTAAGCGACACAACCTCCCCGTTCAAAGGCCGAAGCGACGTGACCGTGCGGCAGGAATAACGCTTCAAGAGGCCGATAGTTTAGGTAATTTCTTTTTACAGTGAAAATAATGGTATTTAAAAAAAGTAAATAACATAAGCACTGCTTTATAGTTAGTTCAAGTAGTATGCAAAGTTTCATGATCTTATTTAAAGTATTTTATGAATAGCAGCGGTTTATTGTTTATTTTGGAGGTAACTTTGGATTTTTTTTCTATCGAGAAAATTTTACGAAATTGTGTTTTCGTCTAACATAATCCTTAAAATTAATCCTCAACTTTACCATATATTTATTTCAAAATTAATGCTGCAATATTTTCGGCATAACGAAAGATCTTGCTAAGCCATTTGAGATTATATTTCCCCTTAACCAATTCATTCATAACAATCTAGATTTCATATCTTACCGATTTATATTATTATATAATTTAATATATAGTCGTCTTTAGGCCATCTATCGTCTATTTGACGTACCACCCTGTCAATCAATTTTTATTTAATATAAAGACTACTAAGTACTAAGTAGATGGCGCTATTACAAAGAAATTTTACTCGTAATTTTCAGGTTTAAGGTTTAAGTTAAGTTTTAAGGTTTTACTTCTACCGCATGTAAAGTGCACACATGTTTTTTGTCGTTATTAGGAAGACGCTGCTGCCCATCTCCTGATTTGTTTCCCTCTGTCGGCTCTTACGACACCCTTCGTTATTAGGAAGACGCTGCTGCCCATCTTCTGATTTGTTTCCCTCTATAGCCTCTTACGACACCCTTCGTTATTAGGAAGACGCTGCTGCCCAGCTTCTGATTTGTTTCCCTCTATAGCCTCTTACGACACCCTTCGTTATTAGGAAGACGCTGCTGCCCATCTCCTGATTTGTTTCCCTCTGTAGCCTCTTACGACACCCTTCGTTATTAGGAAGACGCTGCTGCCCATCTTCTGATTTGTTTCCCTCTATAGCCTCTTACGACACCCTTCGTTATTAGGAAGACGCTGCTGCCCAGCTTCTGATTTGTTTCCCTCTATAGCCTCTTACGACACCCTTCGTTATTAGGAAGACGCTGCTGCCCAGCTTCTGATTTGTTTCCCTCTATAGCCTCTTACGACACCCTTCGTTATTAGGAAGACGCTGCTGCCCAGCTTCTGATTTGTTTCCCTCTATAGCCTCTTACGACACCTTTCGTTATTAGGAAGACGCTGCTGCCCATCTTCTGATTTGTTTCCCTCTATAGCCTCTTACGACACCCTTCGTTATTAGGAAGACGCTGCTGCCCAGCTTCTGATTTGTTTCCCTCTATAGCCTCTTACGACACCCTTCGTTATTAGGAAGACGCTGCTGCCCAGCTTCTGATTTGTTTCCCTCTATAGCCTCTTACGACACCCTTCGTTATTGGAAGACGCTGCTGCCCAGCTTCTGATTTGTTTCCCTCTATAGCCTCTTACGACACCCTTCGTTATTAGGAAGACGCTGCTGCCCAGCTTCTGATTTGTTTCCCTCTATAGCCTCTTACGACACCCTTCGTTATTAGGAAGACGCTGCTGCCCAGCTTCTGATTTGTTTCCCTCTATAGCCTCTTACGACACCCTTCGTTATTAGGAAGACGCTGCTGCCCAGCTTCTGATTTGTTTCCCTCTATAGCCTCTTACGACACCCTTCGTTATTAGGAAGACGCTGCTGCCCAGCTTCTGATTTGTTTCCCTCTATAGCCTCTTACGACACCCTTCGTTATTAGGAAGACGCTGCTGCCCAGCTTCTGATTTGTTTCCCTCTATAGCCTCTTACGACACCCTTCGTTATTAGGAAGACGCTGCTGCCCAGCTTCTGATTTGTTTCCCTCTATAGCCTCTTACGACACCCTTCGTTATTAGGAAGACGCTGCTGCCCAGCTTCTGATTTGTTTCCCTCTATAGCCTCTTACGACACCCTTCGTTATTAGGAAGACGCTGCTGCCCATCTCCTGATTTGTTTCCCTCTGTCGCCTCTTACGACACCCTTCGTTATTAGGAAGACGCTGCTGCCCAGCTTCTGATTTGTTTCCCTCTATAGCCTCTTACGACACCCTTCGTTATTAGGAAGACGCTGCTGCCCAGCTTCTGATTTGTTTCCCTCTATAGCCTCTTACGACACCCTTCGTTATTAGGGAAGACGCTGCTGCCCAGCTTCTGATTTGTTTCCCTCTATAGCCTCTTACGACACCCTTCGTTATTAGGAAGACGCTGCTGCCCAGCTTCTGATTTGTTTCCCTCTATAGCCTCTTACGACACCCTTCGTTATTAGGAAGACGCTGCTGCCCAGCTTCTGATTTGTTTCCCTCTATCGCCTCTTACGACACCCTTCGTTATTAGGAAGACGCTGCTGCCCATCTCCTGATTTGTTTCCCTCTGTCGCCTCTTACTACATCCACGGGATGATATGGGGTAATGGATGGAGATGGATGGAGTGGACTTACGTCGCCACTACACGGTATAATTACAGGGTGTAAGGTATTTTCATCTCTGTTTGCGGGAGTGAGATTGCATCTGTAATTTTCTTTGTTTAAATTTGATTGCTGTGTCCATGGGCTTTAGTAATTATTTACAATTAGGTGGCTGGCTTGTTCAAGTTTAAACATATCCCCAGTCACGAATCCTAATTGGTCATGGCTTCAGAATTGTTCACTTACGTCTTATCACCGGAGAGCCGTGACTGTGTGAGGAGAGAAACGCACTTCTGGACGGATTTCAACGGTCAGAAATTGGACCAGTAGTGTGCTGCAAATGTAGCTTTAAGGAGTTAAATAAGTACGCGCAAGCATGGAATCACAAGTGCAAACAATGCAAAAGCTGAAGAACAAGAATTGAGTAGCAAACGCAAAATGACGACGCTGTGGGGTCACGAGCCTGAAGGTGTGGTGTTTAATAAGTAGGGAAAAGGTATGGAACAGAGAAATTCGTAGGAGAGCACACACGGGGAAGAACCTCGACGAGCAAGTACTGCGTGCGTCTTCGGAAGAGGTTCGGTCCGTATGTCGCAAGACAGGATATATTCCCTGGAGATTTACATGGGATGTGATGGGTAGTGGTAGTGGTAGGATTAGGGGGGGGGAAGATCTCCATGATTTCAGGTAGTGTCCTTAGTCCTTAGGGTACCAATTTCTAGAACAAGAATAATGATATCGACTCCTCGCAGATTTTATTCGATGTGTAGTTGCGAAATGATTATATCAGTGAATAAGTTTTTTTTATATAAATCGATTTCGTAGTTTCCAATTAATCGAATTTACCCGCCAAACTGAGAGTTGATGTAGAAGCCAGAACGAATTGGATCCACACACCCCTTTTTACTTTGCAACATGCATAATAATACAAAGAACAACTTACCAAACGAATAGAGGTTCGAAGAACTGCAGCACAATGACGAAACCTAGCGTGACCAGGATGAGGCCCAGGTTAAGAAGCAGCATAAGGCAGCACATGCCCTTTACGTTCGGACAGAACGGGTTCGGTGCGGCCATTGCTTCTACTTTCACACCGGCCTGCAAGTGAGAACAAAAGAATAAGTAATAAAGTTCCGCTGCTGGGTACAGACCACCCCTAACTTCTAAGTGCTATGGAGCAGGAGTTTTATACGTGGTAGAGCCGTGCTGCAGCTATATTAGTAGTATAGTTGTGGCACGAATGGGTAGGCTCGACCGGTGTGGGACTACGATTTCACAGAATACCAGGGTAAAATAATAGCTTCATGCTGCTGTGTTTCGTATGGTGAGTGTAGAAAACGGGAGACCATTTTTACTGAAACAAGGCATCTTATACCCGTATTTATAAAGAAGTAATTACTTGTTGCCAAGTAATTTCTTAGTTAACCCAGTAATGCCGAGCACGTCCATATGGACACAAAAATATGGGTAAATTTAAATGCTTAATATGGCTACACTTTATTTAATTTTAAACATTTCATTGTTTATACTCTACCACTAAATGTCAAAGTTTCATTACATGTCACTGTCACTGTCATAATATAATGTTGATTCGCGGGTTTAATCACTTAATTGCCGCTAATCTCAGTTACGGTGAAATATGGATCCGAGAAGAGAGTAAGTAATATTATTTTCAAAATATTGGTTTTATTTATGTTATTTTTGTGCTAAATTACTAAGACATAATTGAGTTATGTCTACAAAATGGTAAAATATTGCTTAGATTTGATTTAGCATAATATTTATAACACTGAAGTTGCCGTGTCCATAAGGACACGCTAGGCACTAAGCATTGCATTACAAAAAGTAATGTATTATTTTCAGATTCTTCGATTTCAACCAATTTCTGGGTAACGGCTCCCCTAAATGAAATTCTTGATATATTGTGCGAAGATGAAGAAGGTTCTGGTGAATCTCCGATACCAGAATCAATTTTTATAGCTCCTCCTGATTCAGCTATTTTGACGGACGAGGATTCAGGTGACGAAGATAGTGGTGGAAGAGCCGAGAACTTGAATGCTCGGCAATTAACAGCTGGTGCGGAGGTAAGGTTTGAGCAACAATACCAAACTTACAGAGACACTCTTCATTTTGACGATCTTTGTGGCAGAAAAGCGAGAACATGGATCGATGGAACCTTAGAACCATTTTTGGGATCATTTCCAGAGATTGCAACTGACATCGCTAATCAATCAGCCGTCGATTTGTTTGAGCTTTTTATTGATCACGACATTATTGACATGTTTATTCTGCAATCAAATCGCTATGCTTTATGGAAAAACTGCCCTGATCCTAAGATCACAGCTGCTGAAATGCGATGCTTTATTGCTATTCTCATTTTGAGTGGGTATTCGCCCAATGCTAACAGACGGCTCTATTGGAGCACGGAGATAGATACCCGCAATGAGCTTATTTGCAACTCTATGCGGCGCAACAGATTTGAGGAGATAATGCGATTCATGCATTGTGTCGATAATAATGAATTAGACGTGAATGACAAAATGTGGAAGTTGCGCCCTTTAGTAAATAAAATAAAGGCTAATTTTATGAAACATTTTGTCCCTGAACAAAATCTGTCATTCGACGAAACTATGGTCAAATATTATGGCCAGCATTCCTGTAAGCAATTTATCAGAGGAAAACCCATCCGGTTCGGCTGCAAGATATGGAGCCTGTGTACTCCAGATGGTTACTTGATAAATTTTGAAGTTTATCAAGGCAAGGTTCCAAATGCCAATCCACTTTATGAACAGCACTTTGGAAAATGTGCCACTCCTCTTCTAACATTTATCGACGAGTTTACCGATGAAAAAAAGAAAATGCCTTATCATTTTTTCTTTGACAATCTTTTTACAAGCTTGAATCTTCTGAACTACTTTAGACAGCAAGGATATGGAGCTACAGGCACAGTGCGGGAAAACCGCCTGCAGAAGTGTCAAAAATTGACTTCGAATAAAATGTTGAAGAAAAAGCCAAGAGGTTATTATGAATCTGCGATTAGCAAAGAAGATGGTGTCCTTGTAGCAAAATGGATGGATAATTCAATCGTTTGCATCGCATCTAACAATTTGGGCGTGCAACCGCTGACTACCGTGAAACGGTATTCCCAAAAAGATAAATCATTTGTTCAAGTGCAACGACCATTTCTTCTAGGTGAGTATAATAAATATATGGGTGGAGTTGACAGGATGGATGAAAATATAAACATGTATAGGATACACATCAGAGGAAAGAAGTGGTACTGGTCGCTATTTACTTGGATGCTAGATGCATGCGTGCATAATGCTTGGCAACTTCAGAGAAAGAAAGATAAGATGCCACAGCTGGAATTTCGAAGAAAAATTGTTCTTACCTACCTAAAAACTTATGGCATAGCTGCTAAAGGTGCAGGCAGACCTTCTACGTCCAAACTGGCTGATACAGCGCGGTTTGACAGCATAAATCATTACGTTCGAAAGTGTGTAAAAAAAAGAAGATGCGTCGGCCCGTACTGCAAATCAAAGAGTTCTTCTGTAAGAACAGAATGTATGAAGTGTGACGTTGGCCTATGTATACCATGTTTTGCAATGTATCACCAGAAGTAATAAACACCTACCGTTATAATGTTTTTGTTTCTTTTTATCTAACTGCATACTTCAAGATAAATTTCTCAAATCCTTAGCTATTGTAAGCGCTTAGTGTGTCCATTTGGACACGTGAATTTTCTCCAACTTCTAATATATTTGGAAAAATAAAATTTATGCTAAGTTGATAAGAACCCATCATTGAACAATATTATATATCCATACTTAAAAAAATAAAAAATAAAAAAATTCGGGCATTACTGGGTTAAGTCATTACTTAAGGTTAGAATTCTTAATTACAAAATCTCATTCTATAGTTGAGTAACACACGTTACATACTTGAGCAAATGCCCTAGTAACACTGTACACTTGGTGGTTGTTTCTGTTTTCAGAAACATAGTTCTTCATTATTATGAACGATGTTTTGGCTTACTGTCAAAGGTTTTGAAATATCCAACAAGTCTAGGGCATAAAATTCCGTATGTTAATACTTATGAACGACGATTAACACGATTTTTATGACGCCGAAAATAAATATTCGTAAAAAAATGTCGAAGTTAGATAACGTCTAAACTTTTAAAGTAAGAAGGTTCATTTAGCAGAAATAACATAATCCCGAAAAAAGAGTAACATATATTCATGTAATCGCCTGTCACTCCTATAATGGGAGATGAGTTGGAGATGTGAGATGGCATGAAAGGGTTGTCACCCGGGCTTCTTAGCCTAGCTAAGATCTAATTGCCTATTGTGGCAACTTCAGTACTACGTGAGCGCTTACTATGCGCCAGGTTGTCAAAATCGTTATTTTAAAATTCAACTCTAAAGAAATAAACGTAAAAGTAAAAAAATGTTTAATTAATTCTTGTTTTCTATTAAAAATAATTATTATTCGATAAAATTAGATATGTTAAAGTAAATAGTGTAAAACTTACAACATAAATATAATGTTTGATTATTAGATATACTTATTTGTTTAATTTCTGTTCTTGTGATTATTTATTCGATATGAAAAAAAATCAAATTCTATCTCCTTCTAATATATTATCTACAACAGCAAAAACCGTTCCAATGCTATTCAAATTTTTAATTTTTTTATCCAAAATAACCTCAAAGTAGTGCTTAAGTAAAGGAAATGGTGACTATTACTTGGCTGAGTATTCTAACTTTTGACAGTTCTAACTTGGAGCAATTACTTAACTATCGAATACAAATCGTTACTTAAGTGATTACTTTTACTCAAGTATTTACTTTTACTTGTTTATAAATACGGGTGTTAGCCCTCAGGGAAAACAACGCATCTGCATTTTGATTTTTAATTGAGAATATGCGTAGATGTCTGTGGGCCACAGCATTGACTTACCATCAGGTGGACTGTGTCCTTGTTTGACACCCTTATCCTATCATAATAGTACCTACTCTGACGCGTTGCCTTAATGCGTTTTGGCGGATATCAGATGTCTTCGAAATACTTTTATTCCTCAGACCAACGGCTTGCTCACCATGTTTTACATTATTGATGACCACGCTATAAATCAGCACTTAAAATCGAAATTTAAAATTTCATTGATGCCGGCGCGGCGGGCCGGCGGAGATCGAATCCAGGTTTCTTCCGTAATGTAAAATTAATGGCAAGCGCTTCGCCCCTAAGCTACCATTTTAAATTGTATAGATGTGTTCATAGGCCACAACGTTAATTTAATATTAGGTGGATTGTGCACCTTTGTCATGCTTATTTATATAACAAAATCTTACCCTATATAAGAATAGTTTATTTACCTTTCTTGAGACCTTAGACCGGTGTGTGGAGGCGACAGAGGGCGCCACGGCGCTTCTGTAGGAGTAAACGCTGCGAGGCGCCCGCGACTGGCGGCTGAAGACAAAACAGGATCGATATTATTTCTCAAGCACCTTTAAAATCTGAGGTATTCTGTGATGGACATAATATACAATAAGTAACGAAAACCATATGGTTCCATTTACGTATGTTATCAGAATCAGTATAACTTTAATTCAAAATCAAGTTAAATTTAAATAAAAAATTCTTGGCAAATTGTATGTGGATTTATAACCTCTGCGTTGGCTGGGAAGTGAGAGTAGAATCAAAGACCCCGCTTTACTGATGCACGTTCAGATGTGAATAACATTTTTTTTAAAAGATTGAATTTAGTATTGTTAGTAGTATTTATATTAATTATTTGTATAATAGTACCTAGTTATTAAATTAAGTTTTCACAATTAGTTACCTATTGTGAAAACTTAATTTAATAACGACTAAATAATTCATAATATCAATTCTGCCATAAATGCGATGCCTATCTCTACATACGTCCCTAAAAGGACCACCGGGTTTTTTATTATATAGTATAATCATTCAATTTTAATTTACATTTCACAGTATGTAATATATAATTTACAATTCAATGTAAGCACTAGGTTTTATCCGCGTTAGAACTTGGCCGGTAGAAATGTTGGTGTCAATCGGCTACAACTACAAGTCATTGTTCTGGGTCTGGATGTATGTCTATGGAATGCAATCTCGTACTTGCTAGATCTCGTTCGCGCAAAATCTCGGCCTTTTTTCAAAGGGCGAGCATAAAAACGTCTTGTTGTTGTTGACGGAGTTGCGATTTGTCGGTTATCTGGCCAACAAAATAAGAAGCCGTTTGGCAGAAGATTCTTTGGAAATTTTGTGCTTCTTAAGGAGCTACTTTCAAAATATTTCGTAATAATGGCTTGTGATTTGAACTGAATAAATCTTTCATTTGATTGGTATATTTTGTTAATTAATCTGTGATTTCTAATAGTCTGACTAATTGGTATATTTTGTTAATTAATCTGTAATATCTCATGGATATATTGAGTAGATATAGTTTTATTTAATTGATAATAAATAAAAAACCCAAAATATACCACTGCAAGACTTCAAAACACAGTTAGTTCATTCTGCGTAGATCGGACCAAAGACAATAATTAAAAAGCTGAAGGTACTCCGGGTTAACTTTGACATCGGGACGTCAGTCACCTCAGTTCCTGTACCATGGGTGCTGGAAAGCACCCGAAACGTCGGGTATTAAAAATAAATAAAACGTGATAAAATCCGTAAAAGTAGTTTTAATCAATGATAATAATATCTCAGTTTAATAGTCAACTCAACTTAGATAATAAGTTTCATTTGGTTGACTTTGTTCTGTTTGTAATAAAAGAACTGTTTTATTACTAAAATAATTTTGTTTGATATTAGAAGAAAAGACTGATTGTTTCTTTCATAATATGTTATTTGATAGATACGTACGTCAAAGTTTACTACTTAGAAGTTTATTAAGAAATTATAGACAGATACGTCAAACAATGCTTGATGCATAAAAGTCTATTGAAAAACTTCGTGAAAATAAATGTTTATCTTATAATACTTGTAATTTTTAATTATTTTTTCCTAATTTATTCAAATATTGTGATTATTTCCAAAAAATACACAAAAGTGTCAATCTCGCGAGATCTCGATATTGGCGAAATCTCGCAGTATTGTCATTCATAAACTCGCGAGATCTCGCTTTAGCCACAAACTCACGAGGTTTGCATTCCCAATGTATGTCCATGTGCAATTTATCTGTATAATGCTTTAACGACATAGGTGAAAAACCTAGTGAGTTTGTTATTAAACAAAAAAACGGGTACCAATTACCAGTACCAGATACAATATAAGAAACTGTATAAACCCGCTCGTGTTTATTACACTAGGGATTGCAATCAGGCACCAATTATAATTCGGTCTGATTCGATAGTACTAATTTAAATTGTAATTTTAATATTAGCAATAATAAGATAATGACAGGCAGTTATTTTGAGTCTTACTAGATTTCAGTTAGTTGACTAAATTATTCTTAATGAAATGAGATTACAAGAATTGGATAGTTTGGGCACACCAGTAGACTTATTATTGAAATAATTACAACAATTATAAGCCTGTTTAATCACTAGCATTATAACTACAATAGGGAGTTTGAAAGTTCTTCTTATTTTTAATACACACATGTGATGTGATGTCTTTTATACATTACATTTATTAGAAACTGGTATCGCGCACTTATACGTTATATTTTAAATTACAAGAAACAGTACGATTTGGTAGATTTGTACAGTAATTACATGGTGAGGAATGACATTTCGCCCCAAGATAAAGGAGAACAAAAAAGAAAGTGCTAGCGTCATTATGGGACAAAGTGGCGTGTTGATATTCCCACGACGAGTCGTGGCGCCCCCTGCTGCTAACATAATTGTGGGTAGCAGGAAAAATAAACTTTTTATTACATGAACCTAAGAAATAAACCTTTGACTTTAATAGTTTCGAATTCATTTATTAAATGCTATGAAACGTAACCGTTCTTTAAAAAAAAATAAAGATGTAATTTAAGTTGTAGTAGTATAATGGAATATAACGCATTATTACTGCGCATAAACCATTGATGAAATGTATATTTTGTACCGTAACGTATGGATTCTCATTTAGGGAAAATAATATCGTTAATGGTGTGTTTATTACGATTATCCTCGAGTACTGCCATCTTCAATTCGAGTTTGAATTAAAAGTGTAGACATAGTAACGTAAAAAGGATGCTCAAACTACTAAAAAGAGATGGACGAGATGCTGCATACCTTGGTGCCTCATTGCAAGTGACGCTGGAACTATGCTCAATTTCTTGACATGTACCTGTACATGTACAGCGGGTATTTGTGCTTACCTTGGTATGTATTGGAATGATGACCCACAAGTTAGTGTGAGATCCGTGTGGTGTCGGTTTATTACAAAAGATCAAAGGATTGTGGCAGGATTAGGCCGCCACGATCACACGGTGGTGACTGGTAACGTTGGGCTCGCGTTTAGTTTGCTACGAGCTCCCAGAGTGTTTGCACGCACCTTATTTAAATTTTATATTCATGCTTCCTAACTAGTGTCTACAAAATGGCAATAACAATGATCAATGAAGAAACTTTTGGCTTTATAGAGATCTACCATGCCGAAAATTGTAAGTCCAATTGTCCAACCCGAGAAATAAAAATCACAAAAATAAAGATAATAATTTCTTGTATGCATTCACGCATTAGCGGTATGTGAATAAATAAACCGCAGCAGCTGTTAGCATCTCTGTATTCATATTAATAATTAGTCCGCACATTGGCCTGAACGGAAGTTTGCTTCCTACAGTAATACATGTTAGATTACTGTAGGAAGCAAACTGAACCACCTTCCAACGTGTGGACTCCGCGCCGTCACAAACTCTTGGCTAATACCTGTGTACATTCGCCACTATGTTGTTCAACATGAGGAGCCGCCTTAAAACCACTTTATTGGTGGCAAACGACGATTGATGTCAGAAACGTAAATGTGAGCGTTAGTACGTGTTTTTACAATAAGCTGAGCATCGTTTTATCTTGGATTCGGCGTCATTTCAAACTTACCCAGTGCAGTTTGAGGTTGAATGTCAAAATAATTCTTAGGGTCTACATATTTATATAGTCCTAGGTCCTAGGCCCTTGTCTATAAGAGAAGTTAACACTTATGTCTATCATGAGTTTTCTAGTGTATGCCACACACAAATTTACACAAAACAATGTCTTTCTGCTCTATTCTTTAATGTTTTACACATTTTTTGTTTGCGAAAACTTCTTTAGCGGCATTGTGATTTGAAACTAAAAAACGACACTAAAAAGAGACAAACATATACATCTATACGATTTAGCTCGTGAGAGAATGAGATAGAATACAGTAAAGTGTTTTATTTCTACCGCGTATTAAATATACATTTTATTTTTAATTTTTATACTTTTAGGAATATCTGTTGTTTGGTTTATCCATTTCTAATCTAATTAATATAAAATATAACTAAACTTCAGAAAGAAACTTTCCCGACAAATTAATTTCACCCGCTACGAATTATGTCAAATATATGGCCCTAATGGGCCCATTGCAAATTACAAACCGAAAGATAATGGGTTCCGCCTGCTACTAAAGTTAATATTTTACCTAGACTTTTTTCACTTAGGTTTTCAGCTTATATAGTCTGTTCAACCGAAGTAAAGTTTACTTTGTTTAAAGTTTATTTTATTTTTGTTTTGTATTCTCAACCTTGTTTCGACCTTTTTAGTGAATTACGTTTAAATTGTCTTTCTTGCAGTTTTTGATTTTTTTAATTATTTATTTTATTTAAGACTTTTTAGTGTGCTTGTCTTTTTTGTAAAGATTTTTGACGAATAACTATGCGACTTAGAAAGGTCGATGTGTATTTCCTGAAATAAACGGTGTTTATTTATTACATTTTTCTTCAAAACTTCAAAGTATACGGTTCAAAATTTATTGAAAACAATTTAAGTATTTGTCAATTTAAGTATTTGATATTAATAACTATTCTTTTTTTCATATAATAGCACGAGGTCCTACACCATAAGTAGCCGTGGTAGCTCAGTGGTTAACGCTCGCTGTAAATATAACAGAACGCGAGTAACCCGGGTTCGATCCCCGCCGGCACCAATGAAATTGTTAATTGCAATTTTAAGTGCTGATTTACCACGTGCTCGGCGGTGAAGGAAAACATCGTGAGGAAACCTGCATGTCTGAGGAATAAGAAAAAAAAATATTTCAAAGACATGTGAAGTTCGTCAACACGCATTTGGGCAGCGCGGCGGACACTTCCTTGCCCTAAACCCTCTCAGAAATGAGGGGAGGCCTGAGCCCAGCAGTGGGACGTATATAGGCTGTAACTTTACTTAACTTTACTACACCATAATTCTACATTTTATAAACCAGTTATTAAAAACTTTAAAAACCAATTTATAATTCCTAATTAAATTTAACTATACAACTTATATTCGATA